AAATGCTTGTTGGTATATAAAAGTTTCAGCCTTTTGATGACGCTGGCGACATGCGTGCGAAAACGTAGGTCAACGTCTATGTGTAGACCCAAATTTCGGCATACATCATTAAGTTTTGAATCTGTGCTCCATATTTTGAGGTCCAGGCTTGCCGTCAGGTGTTCTCGAAAGAAGTACAACACTTTTGAGGATACGGACCTTAAAACTAAAGCTTGTGGTTCCCCTGAAGGAACATCCTGTAAAATTGAAATTCTTCTACCCAGAACCATTGAGGGTTATCTGCATTATAGTATTGAAGCCGAACGTACATTTTTCGTTACATGAACGCGTAGTGATATGATACGATAGAAACTAGTCACATCTCACATATTTTGATGCTAAACAGTGGGTTCGCCAGCAAACAGGGACCTATATGTGTACTTGACCAAGTTCGTGTTAAATATCTATAAAATGCTACATCTAGATTGAGCAGAAAGGGGTTCAGCTCTTTTAACGGTTTTTGGTGGATACGTCAAAAGTCATACAAAACAAATGAACATATGGTCTTAAGACCAGGCTGTCTAGATAGCTCACAACTATGTCAAATAGTTATTTCTTCTTTTATTACTAAATTGAGTAGTGTAATATCCCGCCTAGGACCTCAAAAATTAAATAGTTAATTGATAACTTACTGGTTTTCAGAAACTTCTCTCTTGAAAAGTGTGATTTATGGCTTTATTGAATGAAAAATATAAATTTGAGCAAAAAATGCGTTCTCTACAAGTGACGGTCAATGAATGCGCACAGAAAGGATTATCTATCTGGCAACAACTCATTTATTTTCGACTAAATGAGAACAGCCGCTCTAAGGGCCGTATCGTCAGTCGTCCCTACAATTGTAGGGCGCGTTTATGGCCTCCTGGATTGTCATAGTTTTACACTTCTCCGTGTCAACGCTCTATTTTGAGGTTATGCCACACACATCTATTTGTATCAAGTTCTGCTTGCTTTTGAGTTATATCATGTTTTATCAGCCTGAAATTCCCTACAATTTAAAAGGCAAACATATCTTCACAATAGGAGAGCGCTGACGCTGACACGGGACGAGTGTAATCTAGAAATTTTTGAAGGAGAGAAAAGAGTATGACAATCTAGGAGGCCATAAACGCGCCCTACAATTGTAGGGACGACTGACGATACGGGCCTAGGGCCGTAACGTTAGCCGTAACTACAATTGTAGGATGCCTTTATGGGCTCCTTGATTTTTATAGTTTTCTACTGTTCTGTGTCAGCGTTCTATTTTGAGGTTATGTCACAAATATCTATTTGCATCAAGTTCAAAAGAAAACATTGCTTCACAACAGGAGAGCGCTGATGCTGCCACGGAACAGTAGAAATCTAAAAATATCCCAGCCTTTGTGAAGGTTAGAAAATACTATGAAAATAAAGAAGGCCACAAATGCGTCCTACAATTGCCTTTAGGGCCGTATCGTCAATCGTTCCTACAATATTGTAGGACGCCTTTATGCCTCCTTGATTTTCGTAGTTTTGTACTGTTTTGTGTGAGCGCTTTATTTTGAGGTTATGTTACAAATATACAGTGCGCGGCAGAGAGGATGGACGGTTTTAAAAAATTCATAAAATAGTTAATTTTTACTCAAAAACAAATTTATTGATGGAATCAGGTTCACAAGGAAATAGCATTTGAGACAGTCAAGTGTGGAAAATCAAATCAGGCATGTGGTGGTCGAAATCGTTGATGCAGTGCTGGAGGCGTTCTTGGAAGTTCGCGTAGACTCTAGCCTTGAGGTGTCCTCATAAGAAAAAATCGCATATGGATAAATCTGGGGACCGAGGAGGCCAACGAACATCGCCAAACCTGGAAATAAGACGACCAGGGAAGAGACGGTGAATAACGTCCATGGATGCTCGGGCTGTGTGGGCGGTCGCCCCATCCTGCTGGAACCACACACGTCGGATTGGAACACGTCGCCGTCGTAGTTCAGGGAGAAAGAAGTTGGTGATCATGTCGTCGTAGCGCTCTGAGTTCACGGTATCATCACGACCATTACTGTCTTCAAAGAAGTAAGGGCCAATGATGCAAGTTTGCGATACAGTGCCCCCAACCGTTACTTTTGGGCTGTGCAGATTTTCATTAGCCCAGTAACGACAATTCTGCTGGTTAACCATGCTGTTTAGGCGAAAGTGGGCTTCGTCACTCATAAACAAAATGTGGTTCTCATTTTGATCGATCAGTGCTTCCATCTCACGTGCGAAGTTCATTCGTTGTGCATAATCTCCGGGCTGTAACTGTTGCACAATGGCCAATTTGTAGGGGTGAAAGCGGAGATCCATATGCAAAATTCGCCTTACCGAACGGTCACTAAGGCGAAGTGCAGCAGCATATTTCCGGGCAGATCGAGTCTGACTGCGAAGAAAGACCTGTCGAACGCGTTCAACATTTTCAGGAGTTCGAACTGTTCGCGGTGCTCCTCTTGGTCTTCTGTTGATCAGTTCGGCACGCCTCCGAAGTGATTCAACCCAACGAAGGATGGTGTTTCGAGAGGGAACAGCTCTATTCCGATGAATGTTGAAGTGGCGACGAAACTCACGCTGTACGACGATGACTGACTCATTATTTCGGACGAAACAATCATAGGCGAAAACGCGGTGCTCCACCGTCCAAGGCTCCATAACGACAACTGGTAAAATAATGCTAGGATCTCACGAGTCAAACGGCACCCTCCCCACCTCTCTCGTAGACGGAGGTGGAGAGTACTACCCATCCCAAAAACGTCCGTCCTCTCTGCCGCACCCTGTATATTTGCATCAAATTGTTCATGCTTTTGATTCATATCATCTGTCTTCAGCCTAAAATTTCCTACAATTCAAGAAGAAGACATACGTGTAGCCTGACAATAGGAGAGCGCTCACACTGACACAAAACAGTAGAAATCTAGAAATAGGAGAAGAAAGGAGAGAAAAGACTATGAGAATCAAGGAGGCCATAAAGGCGTCCTACAATTGTAGGAACGACTGACGATACGGCGCTTAGGCGCCATCAGCTGTTTTGAAGATACCATGTTTTTGTCATCTCTTATCTCTGCCTAATTTTATTCACCTTCTTAGAAGACAGTTGTCTTCTCTTTCCCTTTATATAACTACTCTTTGAATATACAAAAACAGCAACAGGAAGAGAGAGAGACATATCCCTCACATTTTATGCTAAGTATGAATAAACGTGCACATTACATATTCATTACACAAAGCGTAAGTGCCGAGACACTAAATTGGGGGATAATCTGACGACGTTATTTTCATTTCATAAGTCCCCTGTGAAAATAATATCAAGTAATGGAGGTCTCATGAAATTCATACAAATCGTCCTATAAATAATGTATAAATTGCCATTCTATTAAGTGACTTTCAGATGAATGAGGCAAGAGATACGAGGGTAGCAAGTAGCTACCTCAAAAAGTAACGTTAGGGTGACCCAAAATAGGCAAATTTGTCCCTTCCAGCTACGGAAATACAATCGCATGAAGATCGATACTGTCTTGAATAAAATTTAAACGTCAAAAAACCAATTTAGCAAAATTCAAAGTATATATACATAGCAGCAGCACATTTTAGTGTCCATTCATGTCATTTTGTTCGGAACGGTCTAGCCGTGAAGCAAAATTTTTAACACCCTGCAAATAATGGCTTAATAACGATATATTTAGAAAGTATGATCATTTACCTGGAGAGAAATGTACTCCTGTGTAGTATGGTATAAACACACTGTATAAACATTGTTATTGCAAACCGTTGAAGGTATTGCTAATAATAGAGGAAGGATGCCTAATACCGGTTAGGTTCCGAATATCGGGCATCGGTTTATTAGACGAGCATCTACTGTTATAATGACCAACATGTAACAGGAACCACATTAAATGCAACCTGTAACGTTCATATGTTTTTGTGACCTTCATTCTTTCCACAAACACGGGAAGTGTGTGAAATCCGCCACGAATATATTGAAAGTGTTAACTAAATTGGTGTTTTCATGAAAAGGTAGGTCTGTTTTTGTTTATTTTTATGTTCATATGTCTTCTGTAGGCTTGAAGCCATCCACTAAGGATTAGAAAAATGTCCCTTTCGATTTGCTTTTTAAGATATATTGTCGTAATATTTTGAGGTTATGTTTCCTAATATCGGGCATGTAAAGATGCCAAATATCGGGTACCCGTATAAGGAACACTTGATGTTGTGACGTAGATATTGTTTCATTATATTGAAGTTATAATTATTAAGCATCTGTTTATTCACAGATGCCTCCAAAAAAAAGAAAGCAATGGAATGCAGAAGCGATGAAGAGGGCAGTAGAAGCAGTTAAGAACAAGGAAATGGGAACTCTCAAGGCGTCTAAAGCATTTGGCGTACCCAAAAGCACACTGATTGATTATGTAATAAGTAAGAAACCGGTTGATACATTACTTGCTATCAAATTAGACAGAAAACCTACTTTAACAAATGAACTTGAAGAAGCACTAGTTGAGTATGCTCTCGAAATGGAAAGAAGGTATTTTGGTCTCCGAGCGTCAGATGTAAGAAGACTAGCCTTTCAGCTGGTGATACGTAATGGGCTTAAGCATCCTTTTTCTTGCCGAAGTGCCGCTGCTGGAAAAAAATGGTTGAAATCGTTCATGTCAAGACACCCAAAATTGTCTTTCCGAAAACCACAGGGAATTTCTGCAGCCCGTGTTAAGGGTTTTACAAAAGAGAATGTTCAAGCATTTTTCAACATCCTTGGTAGCGTTTTGCCAAAAGTTGGCTTTAATCCAGCAGCAATCTATAATGTTGATGAGACTGGTATTACGACAGTATAAGACAAGCATGCCAAAGTGATAAGTTTGAAAGGAAAAAGGCAAGTTGCAGCTTTAACTGCTTCGGAACGGGGTGCTTTAGTAACTATTGTAACGTGTATGAACGCTGTCGGTCGTTACATACCACCAATGTTGGTGTTTCCCCGCAAAAATATGAAGCCTGAGCTTCTAAATGGAGCTCCCCCTGGGTCGGTTGCCAGATGTCATCCATCGGGATGCATTCAGCAAGACATTTTTACAGACTGGCTGAGGCACTTTATTTTACATGTAAAACCTAGCGAATCCGAACAAGTTGTCTTGATACTAGATGGACACTATTCTCATTCAGGGAATATTGATGTTATCAACATTGCCAGAGATAATTTCGTCCATATTATCTGCCTACGTCCCCATTCTACAAATAAGTTACAACCACTCGATGTCTCCTTTATGTCACCTTTCAAAACTTATTATGCTGCTGAAATTAAAACATGGCTTAGAGCAAATCCAGGGAGAGTTGTAACTTCCTATCAAATATCGGAACTAATGGGAAGAGCCTATTTAAGAGCAGCGAGTTGTGAATTGCAGTGAATGGTTTTAGAAAATGTGGAATATTTCCATTCCAACCGACAATTTTCCGAGATGATGAATTTGCCATCCATTCTTCAAATGAAAGACAATCAGTCGAAGGAGATAATGACGAAAATTAGATTGCTGTGGATCCTGCTGTTGCTGAAAACTTAAGAAAAGAAAGAGAAACTACACCACCCATTTCGACACCTAAGCTCGTTGTACCTCAGGATATTTGTCCTATACCTAGCCTAAAGACAAAACATCAGTCTCCAAGGCGAGGTTGTTCGGGTGAAGCTTCTAAAAAAGGAGGTAAACGTGGTTCAACAGCTATCCTCACTTCCACGCCTTGTAAGACAGATTTAGAAGAGAGCTTGAAAAAAAGAAAAAAGATCACACCGAAAAAAGTTAGCCTGAATCAAAATAAATCAAAACTAAAAAACGAGAAGGAAACAGTTAACAATAAAAAATCGATCCCAAAAGGAAAAAAAGGAAGAAAGAGGAAGATAAGCTCATCTAGCAGTTCTGATAGTGATGAAATTCAATTGGTAGACACGGACTACGACATGGACCAAGATGATGTCGATGTGGAATGCTTTTATTGTTCCAACTGGTTCTCTGAAGATATTTCCAGAAATAGTGGGTCCAATGCATGAAGTGTCTGCGTTGGTGTCACGAAGATTGCTCAGATATAGGCAAGGAGAAATCATTTATTTGTGAATTATGTTTAGATGGATAAATACTTGTTTCTTTTGAACTTTATTCTCTGGTTATTGAGAAATAGTTATTTTATTTTTTGTATTCTCCTGCGTCTTACTGTAAAATAAAATATCTTAGATAGCTAATATTGCTACTTTGCATTTTTTGAAGAACTTGTAGCCTAATATCGGGCACCCGATATTTGGAATCGACACTACCCGATATTAGGCAACCTTTTTTTAATTTAAGGAAATGACACCATTTCCGAATTTTCTGAATAACAGCAACTGTGTTTACTTAATTTTAATTATCTCTTGTAAAACAAAACTAGGAACAATAAGCAATAAATATGTCAACCAATTAACTTTTGGGAATGAATAGAAAAGTTTTACTGAACATTTTTAAAAAGGTACCCGATAATAGGCGTCCTTCCTCTATAGGTCGCCGGAAATGCTGCGGTAAGCAATACCTAGCTACAAAGAAAAGAAGAATAAAGTTGACCAAAAACGAACTAAGATGTTTTACTGTGGGAGTAAAAGGCCACACAGTTTATACATGTATTACACTTTTGGTTTCGATACAATGAGTCGTTTTTGAGAATCACAGCCAATCTTCAAAATTTCTACAAAACATAATATAAAAATTTATATCAAGAGGTTTTTGGCTCGCAGATTACGAGGAATACGAACATGTTAGCAGAGTTACGATAATTTCTTAATAGCAGAATCAGAATCATCTATGAGAATTTATCACAGCTGATTCTCTTTCTACTATTTATACTTTGAAAAAGTCATCGTCTCATAGATGGCGCTGTAGCCAACTCTATAAGCATATACGGGAATATAGGCAGCGTCATTTATGAGGCACTAATCATTACGCACTATACAGGGTGTCCGCAAAGTTGGGGTTTTCCTTTACACGACGTGTAGATCTTGAAAACATAAGCAATTTTTCTTAGTACCATATACACCAATGTCTTAAGGGAACCGAGATAAAGGGCTCTGCAACATCAAAAATATCTGAATACCGTCCTGTAGCCGCGACATCACGGAGTGGTACAATGTCACTGGCTCAACCCGACGACAGAACTGGGTCAGGGTCAGTGTGTCAGGTCAGTATGCAACCTTCAACCGACGGTTACGGTCACGCCTGTAGAGGTAATCGCGTAGACGAGAATCCCTCAACAAGCATTAGAGGCGTGGCTAGAGAAGTGCAAGTATCAAAAACTAAAGTGTGGCAAACGCTGCGTGAAGAGGGGCTGTATCCGTTTCACGTCCAACGTGTACAAGCCCTTCAACCTGACGATTTTCCAGCAAGAGTGCGGTTTTGTGAGTGGTTGTTGCATCAACGTGACAATAATCCGGACTTTTTGAAGTGCATATTGGTGACAGATGAATCTACATTCACGCGTAATGGGGTGAATAACTTTCGCAACACTCATGCTTGGTCAGTAGAAAATCCGCACGCTGTCCGTCGGGCACATTTTCAACAAACATTTTCGGTGAATGTTTGGGCTTGCATGGTGCGTCTGCTCGGTAGCGCATCAGCTGATTTCATTTTCTGTTGGAGCGGTATGATTTCGGGCAGAGACGTACTTAGCCCTTCTCGTCAACTGGAGAGTGAGTACTTTTTCCTTTATTTTTTTTTACTTGGTCGCCCTCGTTTCACTACACATTACCTTTGTTATTTCAAGGGTAGTTGTTTCTGAAAAGGAAAACCCCAACTTTGCGGACACCCTGTATATGGTAAATATAGAAACAGCTGTAACAAATTCTGGTAGATAACGTATGGTATATCATTTTATTATTGATAACTTTTCGGGTGCACGAATACAGAATAAGGTTGGTTAAAGTATAACCTTATTTGTACATGTACTGTTGTATGTACATCACGAAAAACCACGTTACTCATTTCCGTCGGTCTGTCTGTTTGTCGGCCTGTCTGTTTGTCGGTCTGTCCACTAATCTTATAAAGCCCTATGACTTGAGAAGTGCCGTTCGGATTTCGATGAAATTTCCCAACAAGGTTACTACTATACCAAGGACTCAAAAGCTTTGTAGTTTCTGAAAATCGGCCCAGTGGCGGTAGAGAAAAAGGTTTAAACGAAAAAAATAATAATCGCTCAAACTTCGTTCCTTGACGTTTCAGAGGATCCTGATCATTTTTGAAATAAATTTTAGGAATAAAGAAACTTGGGGGTGGAGTGTTGTAGGGGGGTGTGGAGGATTTATCTCAATTTTTTGATGCTGGTATATTTATTCGCTGCTAAAATTGGTTATTCTACGCACCTATTAGACATACCTTACACATCATAGATTTCTCTGTACATTGTCTCAAAGCTTCGTGCGCCGACCGTGATGACTATTCTGCTATTCTGTTCATCTATGTACTGATAGTGTTGCGTGGGAAGTGCATAGTGAAACTACTTGATGCCATTTTTTTCGTAGGAATTTGTGACGTTAGTTTTTGAGAACTTGCGGGATAAATAAATAAACAAGCCGCTAATAAGGTTATGACTGTTTACCTGAAATCGAAGAATTCTATACGATTCATTCTACCCTAAAGTTTTATTCCTCTAGAAAACCTCTTATAAATGCCGTCAAGTGGATTGACTCTGCACTTCCTACGCAACGCTGTCGTCAGTTCATAAACGATTATGTTCGGCAGAAGTTTGCCCCTCTGAGAAACATGAGAACAAAAACGTTTAATGGGTTCAGTTGGTCAAACAATTGTATATTTAGCATACTTTTCTATACAATACAAGAAAATGTGCTACCCCATCGCTCTTTTAAAAGTTTTGAGACAGATGCACTTTCACACAAAGCTATCTCTTGCCGATTGATGATTGCCTGTCCCCTTCCCCTGTGAAAAATTCTTGCGAACGCAGATGATCAAAATGATGTGTACATATGGCGTGGATGACGATCGAATGTCCACATCCAGTGAAGCAGCGGAGGCCGACTGCTACTACACAGATGCATCGGCAGGACCGCGAAGCGTATGTTCGACTCACGCGAATGGGAAATGTTTCTCCAACAAGTTTCACTGATAAATGTACAAGGAAGTTTATGATATATTTAAACACTGCGTCGAATTACCGTAACTGGAGACGTATAAATATAACAATGTCAAAAAATTGAGATATACTTACAACCCCCTAATTTTTTACACCGAGCATTTTTTCAAAAATGGTCAGGATCCTCTAAAGCATCAAAAAATGAATTTCTGTCTTTTTACCTTTTTGTCAGCTACCAGTGGATAGATTTCCAAAAAGTATAAAGCTATTTCGTAACTTTGGCACAATAGTAACATAGCATGAAAAATTCATCAAAATCCGACCAGTACTTTGCAAGTAGCGGACGGAAGGTTTTTCATGATGTACATGTCATGTAACATTTAAAAAACATTATATGTCATTCTTGAAATCTTTTACTATCACAATACTTGCTAAACGTCTAGGCGTGATTGCCTCATTATCTGAATGTCTGAATGTTCAAGTTTGTATGTGATCTAGTGGATCTAAGCGAGAAGACATTATTGTGACGTCACTCAAACTCACCGCACTCAAGGATTACGATGCTAGATCGCAATATGTGGAAGTGCACTCACACAAAGAAAAGCATGGGTTCTTCAAAAGTCCAGAAACAGTCAAATACCTTAGGAATTGTTAGACCTACCAAATTTTGAACAAGAGCATATTCGCACAGGAAAGCTATAAAATCTAGGGATGGTCCAATGTCTTAGGAAATACTGCTCCTCTATTGACCGAAGTTTGAACACAGTCATCCAGGCTATAACGCAGTACGTGCGCTGTTCCCAGATCCATAACACTGATCAACAGCCAAAAAATATCCTAAATAAAATCAACAAAATATTACTATTTTTAATGTGCTAAAACCGGAATGAAACTTATTTTTTCAATATTAGTTCAAGTTTTAGAGATACGGTAATTATATGTGTTCCTGCTGTGACAGTGTTAATATACTGTAATTCACAAGAATGCACGTGCTTCATTTTTATATCCGGCAAGGAAAGATGATGTAATCGGCATGATTGTGTTACGATATACATACGTGTACATTATATTGTTTTATATTAACCATTTTTTCCTCAGTTGGCTGACAGCGTTCATGCAAGATGTCTCGAAAGTGTGTAAACAATCCAGATCAGTTTTGTGTGTGGTGATGTGACTTTTGTGTCTCAGAGACGGTCTATTACTCCACTAATAACAAAGGCATATTAGCTTTATTTCGGTTGTAAACTAGGTGATCAAGACAAACAGTGGGCACCCCACATCTGCTGTAATACATGTGCTTCAAGTCTGAGGAGCTGCTTAAATGGCAAAAAACGGTCTATGCGCTTTGCTGTCCCAATGGTTTGGAGAGAGCCTACAAATCCTCACAGTGACGAAAATCCTATTCCAAAACCCCCAGAATCCTACACTTGCGAATCAGAAGACGAATCAGATCATGGCGATCGAGTGATTCGTCAGGAAGAAGATATGCCATCAACGTCAAGAGATCCTGATTTTATACCGAGCACGTCATGCCACCAACCGCACAAAATAACACAGTCAGAATTAAATGATCTTGTAAGAGATTTAGAACTTCCAAAATGTAAGGCAGAGTTACTTGGATGAAGACTGCAGCAGTGGCACTTGTTAGAAAACGATGTTTCGGTATGTGTTTTTCGTAAACGCCACAAAGAGAACCATTTTTCAATATGGAGAATAACTTGGCTTTCTGCAGTAACATTAACGGCTTACTGGTGGCTTTAAATATAAACTATAACCCAGAAGAATGGAGATTGTTTATAGACAGTTCAACATTGAGTTTAAAGGCAGTGTTATTGCATATTGGAAATATTTTACCATCTCTTCCTGTAGGGTATGCAGTTCACATGAAAGAATCGTATGACAATTTGAAGTACCTATTGACATGCATAAAATACGATGAGC